GAATGAACTTCTACCATTTTGAGTTTGGATTATTGTGTTATATGTTATTGTAAATAGCATGTGTACCAAACTGAATAAATGAAAACTAACCTGGTGGGCAATCCTCTGTTCTTATTTTTTGGGTTCTTTTCAAACACATATATTCATCATTTCACGGTGCAATTCAAAATGAATAAATAAATAGATAAAGCATTGTTTGCTGAGACTTTTAACATGTCAGGGAGAAGAAGTTGTCAATAACACTATCGATAAACGTTAATAGTTATTCAAGATCAGCTTCAATTCATATTTGGCCAAGTTAATCAATCCTTCTTTGATTCTTTGACGCCTGAAGAGCCGGTAAAATAGCGACAGAAGCCATTGCCAGATGTGAGGATTAGCCAATTACTTCTCTTGGGTTTGGGTTCAGGTCTTGGGACAAATAGTCCTTTTATAGAGTTTCTTTTGCTTGTGATAAGCAGCACTATCATGTTCTGCAAGCGCTCGCAATACTCTTGCAATTGCTTTGTCTTCAGGTGCATGTTTGCGTGCCTTTTGAAAGTCCTCCCGGGCAGCATCTGCACGGCCAAGTTCTGCTCTAGTCTTACCTCGTCTGAACAGTGCTTTCACGTTGTTTTCATCCTCTGCCAATACCTAGAACCAATTTCCATTTTAATTGACAATCTCATGAAATGCTTTAAAGGCAAAAATAACTTTAAAACTAGCGACGAGATCAACATCCAGATCAAATAGTGGCTTTGCAGTTTGCACATCATGGGTTCGGATAAACAAATCAAAAGAAAAGTTCCAGCCAATGCAAACACCTATTAATTTCACAGGTTCAAAAAATAAATTAAAAGGAAAACTCTGATTTTAGTTCTCATAAGCTAAGCAAGAGAACTTAACATTGTAAAATTCTGTAAAACTCAGTCAAAAAATATTAGAAAGGAAGAAACAAAATAGATAAAATATAATGCAGTTGAATGAGGACCAAATTTTTTAAGATCCAAAAATGGGACCAAAGATGGTTAAACTACTAATATTGCAACAATCACGACAAAGAAACCCTAGACAAACTTTGAGTTGAACCGTATACTTACAGTGGTGCAGTGGCCAATGGCTTCTTCATAGCACTTGAGCTTTATCAGAGAGGCTGCCATGTTAAGGTGGCATGGATTTTTAACAACCAGAGCCATGTCCCAATACTTACCAAACAACTGGAACATGAAATCATCACCCATATATGCTATGGCCTGATGCAGAAACAGAACATCAGAACTCACCAAAGTAAAAAGGAGAGATAAAATTAAGAAGGAAAAAAAAATAATAAAAAAAAGGGGAAAAGAAAACCAGCAGTGGTATGAACAGAGGTACAAAGAGCAACAAACAAGGAAGATAAGCTGGTAACCATTTCATACTGCTGCATGGCCTCCTTAAACGGAGCATCTCCATCCATCCTTCGTCTGTCTGCTGCACCAATCCTTTCCTCCACAGTCATGTCAGCCCTGGCTTTTCACTAAGGAAGACACCAGAAGATACAAGTTATTAGCACCCTAAAGAAGATAAATCCAATTGACTAGAAATGTTTGAAAATTAATGTAAATACTGGAAAGACAATGGAGAGCAACTTACTTCCTTGACTTCATCAAACCCAATTAGCCCAATCTCATACACTAAATCTGCCTCGGGTGGAACATTTGGGAAAGAAAAGCTTCCTTCCTCTCCATAACCTAATTCCCAGCCCACATGTAGCAGTGCCCGTTCCCCAGACTTCATACTTGAGACACCAGCCATTTCTTTCTTCTCTGTCATGGTAGTGAACCATCATTATATCATAAATATGCCCAGTGGATGCTACACCAGGTAAGCAGTTCCTACCCTTGTTTAGTGTAAAAAGGTTAAAACAAGTGAAAATGCATAAATAAGAACCACATTTTTAAAGACAGAATGACCATATTCAGCTCCAAGAAAACGAATCAGAAACTGAAATGAAGTTTGTCATAACTTCAGGAGAAACGAAAAGGGTAAAAAATAATCAGTGTGATACCTTTTGCTAAAACCAGTTCCAGTGGTTGCCATTCATGTCACGTGTCTTCAAATTTATGCTGGGTGCCTTCAGCCATGCACTGTACTGCACTGTTGCATATAGAGAATCATACTTAGGTGTTAGGGTCAACATCACTCCTTCACCTCCCATTCTAAACAGTACTTTCAAAAAAGCAGATGGTAGTAGATTCCACAAACCATTTTGTTTCATTAATAATTACAGAATAAGACAAATGACAGTTTGCTCAATAAATATGCTAAACTCGAATGAGGGCAGAATTTCTTCTTCTTCTTCTTCTTTTGTCAATTTCCACATTTCAACTACAGTTAGTTTGTTGACTTTACATTTAGCTTCTATAAATATTTCTCTTTAATCTTTCAAGGAACTAGCACGTTATGTTGGCACAAATTAATTGACTGGTCTCAGATTTCTCACATCTGACCTTAAAGACAAACTCAATTCAATAAGAAACCTGGTAAATATTTCAAAAGCATGATTCAGAATTGAGTTACAAAATCAGACCAGATCAAGCATGACCAAAGAGAAAACAACAGCATCGTGTGATTGTGTCTACTAAAGTTCAGGAGCTCCCCCTCCCCCCTCACCCCCAAAAAAAAAAAAAAAAATACAAGTTTGTGGTGCTTACAGAAGCATTTTGAATACTTTGATGGCTTCCAACCATGACCTACCTTAATAATTTGCCTTGTGACTTTCTCACGAGGGGTTTCAACCTCAGAATCAACTTTTGGTGGTCCACTATTATCTTGAGGAGGTTCCCCATGCACAGTTGCTGCATTTTCAACGACTATTTCATTTTCATTATCTTTACCTTCAAAAACATCATACAAAACCAGTAAAAATTAATGGTGCTCTGCTTATATATATGAGATCATTGACTCAATTGCTTTTATATAAACTAAACACTAAAAATTTACTTTTAATAAAACCAATAAATAATGCAACCCACAAATGCAATTTGTACAAGTTCTGGTGCTTAAAAGAAGCATAAAAGTAACTCCTAATTCCTAATCCAACAAGGAGAAAATTCATTTCCTGAAAGTGAAAGATCATCATTGGATTGACTTTACCATTCCTTAACATCCTCCATCACTCAATAAATTGCGATCAATCGAGAAATTCTGCAGCAAGATCTTTAATCCACAAAAAATGAACTATGATTTAGCTTGACTTTTCACTTTGCAGCTGATTTGATATTTGAATTCATTTTCCTCTAGTTTAAAAAATTTTCTCAACAATGAAGCAAAAGCAGAAAGTATGATTCGATATTTGAATTCATTTTCCTCTAGTTTACTCTAGTTTTGTGATGTACGTTTTCTCTTCCCTGATATTTGGTCAAGTAGAATTCCTGGACTACTTTAAAAAAGAAAAAAAAAATTTTCTAACCCATGAAGGGAAAAACATGCTTGCAAATTACTGAATTTTTGTATTAAGTAATTTATAATAATTACACTAATTTATCCCTCCCATATACATATTAGATAAACTAAAAATGCTCCAAATGGATACTTTGCTGACCATAAGCTTGATATAAATTTTCCTAATTTTTCACCATATTCATTATGACATCTTTATCAGTGACAAGAACATTTGCAGTTTGCACTTACCGTCCATGTACAGACTTTAATATCCTTGTCAGGCTGCAAATAGCAGATATTTAGAGCCAGATATGTACAGAGGACAATACTACCATCTCATATTTAAGAGCTCGAGAACCATTTATAATTACTGGCTAAAACCCATCATTAAGCTTTGCTTTTATAGGCACTGCACACAATAGGGTCAAGTACATAGTCTAAAAATTAAGGGCCTGTTTGGTGTGGCTAGTGGGAGCTTTAGCTTTTTGAGTACTGTTATGAGTGATAAGTTTAAATTTTTATTGGAGGGAAAATAGAGCTTTAGCTTTTAGAAAGGTGAAAAAGTAAGTGAAAAGTAAGTAAAAAGAGAGTTTATGAAAAGTTTGGATTTGAAACTTTTGAGCTTTTACTGTTTAAGAGCTTTTTGAGGTTAAAAAAATATTTTAAAGTGTAAGTTTTTAAGAGGGAAATTTAAATTCATGAGACATGAATAGTGTGCAAAATCTGAAGCTCCTAGGAGCTGCACCAAACATGCCCTAAACCTAAAAGTAATTTAAAAAAAAAAAGAAAAAAAAAGGAAACTAAAACATCTCTTTCATGATTGCTTCCATAAAAGGTAGTTGTTTGTAAGATGAAGAGATGTGCTGTCCCTGTACATATTCTGGTTAGCAGTGGATAAGAAAATAGAGAAATCTTAATCTAGATCCCAAGATACGCCTAAGAATCAGAAGCTACAGTAAACTCGAAGCATGATGTGTACCTTAAACAACACAAATCTCTACACTAAGGGGTTTTACCTGAGTTGAAGATAGAAGTCTCTGCTAATGAGCTTCTCACATGGAAAAATTTCGTCTTGTGGCTTCCATTTTCAGCAACAGATCTTTTATATCTGCTTCCATCCTCATCTTCATGCTAAAGTATTCACGATGTGCTCTTTCTAGAGCCTGAAATTCTTCAAACTTCTGGTTACGAATTTCCTCGGCCTCAATCAGACGTAATTTTGTGATTCTACTCGTATACTCTTCTTCAATTTCTTCATTCTTTGCCATTGCATATGGTTTCAGGCGCTCAGCTTCTCTTCTAGCCTCATCAGCGTGTGCTTGATACATTTTGGCCTCCTCCTGTTTCATTGTGATAAACCTATCTAGTTCAGGCATAAATGATTGCCTTTGAGTGTTCCTCTGCAAGTCTGACTCAAAAGGGCGTTTCTCAGTCCAGTCCACATGGAAGCCAGGAGGTAGACTTGATGAACTTTCCAATTGAGGAGGAGCTTTATCTGAGTGAACAGATTTGCGCCGCATATCATGAGTAGGCCCAGCAGAACCATTGTTTCCTTTTCCTAGCTCCTTTTCAGGCAAGGCAGAACTAGTGCCAAGTTTGGAAGTATCACTTTCTGCAATTATAACAAAAGATGTAAGCACACCCTTGCTCTTAAACAACATTCAATATAGAATAAAAAATTAAAAAGTCAAACAGCAAGATTAGAAAGGCATCCCGAAACAAAAGAGTGGTCCCAACATGTAATGAATTCAAGATTTCAGGAGCAAATGACATATCAACACAAATCCTGAAAATATGAAACTGTTTTAAGCTTGATTCAGTAATAAGTCCTTATCAACAAAAATTAGGCATCAAGCACAAGTTTTCAGAAAACAAGTTCAGTTCCACACTGGCAAGTATTCTGAAAAATTCTTAACAGTTAGCACTAGCTAATAATTAGCATTTCTAACCTACACCAGCATCTTTAATGAAAGACAATCAAAATGCAAAGTTCTATTAGCTAATATCCTGATCAACTTACAACAACTGAACAACATAATAATTCATATATCATGCATGTACCAAAAAATGGACATTCTAAAAGGAGTTGATGTTCAAAATGTCCATGGCAGAGTGTGAGAAAACATGAAATAATCCCAAAATGATCAGCTTATATAAATTTCTTCAGGAAAAAAAAAAAAAAAAAAAAAAAAAAAAAAAAAAAAAAAGGAGACATATTGTAAACAAGCTCCTGTACAGGACCAATAATAATTAGCCCTAGATACAGTGTAATTTTCTATATCAAGAAATAACTTTTCACATAATATAAGCAAATTCCGAAGTGCTCTTAATCCATTGCCTGCCTGACACTCACAGGAAGAAATATATGGTTTATCCCTTGTATCAAGAATAAACTTAATAAAAGTAATAGTAAATGGAACTTTTAAGAATAAATAAATAAATAAAACAAAAATCTTAACAAGTTTCAAATTTTCCTAAGAAGAATTAATTACATTCTTCACCAGATAGAATAGTAACTTACCAGTCAAGAAGGCCATTATAAGACTATAGACCTCAGCAACGTCAGTTTTATTTGCCAATCTTGCAAGCATCTGGTTTGCAATCTCATGAAGTCGTTTTCCTCTCACATCCTTGCTGCCAGAAAAAATCCTCTTGACATACTCAAGCTCTTTAGAAAAAGTTTTAGGTGTCCAATCCTTTGCAAAATGCTGAAAAACCTCCTTCACAAAGCCAAACATCTCAGAAGGATGATCACAAGCAATACAATGGAACTGCATCTCAGTTGCCCCTTGAGCCCCACTTGCACTAGGCCCATTCCTAATGTAAGATCCCTTCAATCCACAATCAGCATGGCACCAATGAAGACAAACATCACAACCAACCCAACTACAAGTGTTGGATGCCATATCAAATTTTGAACATACAAGACACATACAAGCACTGCAAAAACCTTTCTTCTTGAAGCAAACCTTGCAATCACATTCATCCACAGGCAAAGGACTCCCACACGTGTGATTTCTACATTTTAAGTTCAGAAAGATCTCAGCCAAGTCGGAAGATGGAATTTTGTTATCTAGCTGAAGATACTCTGGAAGACCAGTTTTCAAAGCAACCAAGATCTCCAATTGAGCACGATGCAATTTTAGCAACACCTCCTGAGTTAAGTCAGATCTGTTCTGCAGTGCACTTTGAATTGCAGATAGCTGCCCATGCTTGTCCGCATTTAACATGATCGCACGAATGCTCTCCTTCAGGCATGCTACTGATTGTCCAGTCATTTCATGAAGCATCCTAGCCATTAAATGGATAGGATCACAAATTATGCTGCTGAGTATTGTCCCAACAAAATCAGCTCCACCCATCAGAAGTTGTTCCTCTTCTTTTTGGCTACTACTCCTACATAAGCTCCCAACATGCTTCTCTCCTATTGCAGCTCTCTTCTTCTCAAAGCTGTAATTAGAACCAACATCAAGAGATGCAGCACTCTGTGAAGGGGACCCACCATCACCGCGTTTATGAATACTCAACTGCCTCTCAAGGCCATTTGCCATTTTTGAGCTTCCTTCTATAGAGCGAATATGTTGTCCATGCACCACTTTTCCATTTGCAAGACCCTGTAATGCTTGAGACTGGTGAAGAGAACCATTTCCATTCATCAAAATTCTTTGATTTATGGGAAGATCTTCGTGCCTTGACTCATTCTGCACTGGCCAAGCTCCTTGTGAACCTTGATCAGCTCCCTGAAATATGGGTCTGCTGTGAACAGATTGTTCGTAGTTGTCCATTGAATTCTGTGTCAAGGAACAACTAGGGTTGTGGTAAAATGACTGAGAACCAGAATAGGACATGGATGCTGTAAACCCATCAGAGTTGGTGCGAAATGTGTTGAAGGACTGAAAGCTCCTTCCATGGCTAGGGGAACCAGGAACTGTATTCGTATCTTGAGCTCCAATAGGTAACAAAACATTTGGTAAGCTAAGAGAAAGATCAAGTGGCTCCAAAACAAACTTCTCATCCTTCAGCTTACCAACCCCTGATTGCTCTGCTTTCTCCACTTTCCTAACTGGAGAACAAGAGAACAACTCAAAACCCCTAGTGCTAGGTCCTTCCATATCATCATCCCCATATTTCGCTTCCCTTTCAATCCACGGGCCATTCTCTGCAGAATCCGCAACTGCAATCAGTGGAACAGCAATGCCTTTCCCCTTATCCTTGAAATTGTGACTCAAGCCCTCCTCTGCCACATCCATATTTTCCTTAGCACCTCCATTTTCCTCCCCTACTTCCTTAGCACACTCTGCAAATTCACTCCCCATTTTCATTTCAAGATCAATTCCTTTGTCATCCTTCCTATTCTCTTCCAATTGTAATGACTTCTCCAAAACCCTATTTTCACTACTCTCCTCAAATTCACCATCCTCGTTCTCACACTCTCCCTCATTGCCACAACCATTTTCATCCACAACCCCAACTCCATCCCTATTACCACTAGCACCACTATGCAAACTCCTATCACCATCTTGCAACTCATCAACCTCCTTTTCCTCCTCATTATTCCCCTCACTCACACTCTCCTTAACATC